TCTTTAAAACCTCCCCTTGTTCAATTTGCAAGGGGGAGGAAGAGGTTACCATTCAGTCATCTGTATTTTTTTCAGTAAAATCTAACTTCTGTTTAATCAGGTCTCCTAAACTCAGGCTGCTGAAAGCTTGCTAAGGTACAAGGACACTTACTTGATGTTAATTGGGAAGTTTTTTTCTAGCAGGCTTCAGGGCTCTGGACCAGCTGCTAAAGACCTTTTTCTTTTGCACAAGCACAGGAATATTGCTTTCCCAAGTGCTGGCTCCTGATTTACAGCAACGTGTTCAGGCTCTGCATGTTGGGGATTTTTTTTTCTTTTTTTTTCTTTTTTTTCTGTTATTGCTAATGCATCTGCACAGGAAGGATCTTCTCCACGGGCATAGAAGATACCTTCATAATTACAGGAGAAAAGGCAATTAAAATATGTACTTTTCAAAGCCTGCTTTGCTCTTACCTCACTGGAAGACTAAGAAACATCTAGTTTTCATTGTGTGTGTGCTACCACTCTAAAGGACTCCTTGCAGAGAGAGTGCTGCAGATGCTCTTCCCTCTAGGGAAGTTTAGTTTGCCTTTGGGCTGAGTTAATGTTTGCACTCAGATCCAGAGCTATTTGTGCTCGATGGCAAACAGAGCACAGCTGCCCAAACAGTCTCTCTGTCTCCCTCCAGGTCTATTGAGCTGAATGGCCATGTGCTACGGATGGTGGATGACAAAACATTGCCAGAGCTTATCGAAAAGCCCCTTGGTCCCGGCAGTGTACTCGGACTCCCAGCCTTCTCTTACGGTTTTTATGTTATCAAAAACGCCAAAGCTGTTGCTTGCATTTAAATGGTTAATACACACATGCAGGATAAATGTAAAGCACTTGGCTAGTAGGGGATTTTAATCCTAGAAACTCACATTTTTACTGTGGGATTTAATTCTAGTAAGGGATGCAAATGTGGCAGCACTGGTACGATCTGTGGGCTGGGGAAGACATGAGGGCCCACTGGGTAATTTGAACGTGAAAGAGGCTTGTTCAGCTCCCAGGAGAATTATCCAGGTAAAGCAAGACCAGGCAGGGGCTGGTTTTGCTCTTGGTCCAGCCTGTGTCGCTGCACTTGAGCAGGGGGCCCTTCTCCACGCCACGCACAGAGACACAGCAGCTTCTCACACTGTGCTTGGGGCTCTGCCAGCCTGGAAACTGCAATCCCCCTCTCCCTCTTGTTTCTGCAAGCACAGCTCTAAGAGCAGTCTCTTGAAAAGCTTGCCTTCAGAAAGGATGAACAGGGTTTTTATTTTAGCTGTACAGCTGTGACTCTGCCTGTACCATGTGGGGAAGCCCGAGAAGGCGTTGTGATTGCTGAGGGCATCTTGAGTTGGAAACTGTGCACATGGAAAGCAAACCAAGGACAGAGCGCCTGCAGGTGGAAAGACCTCGAAGAGAAACCAGGTCCTCTATCAGGTTTGGGGAGGTACTACACATTTTTCCCAAGCTAGTTGAGTTCAGTCACAAGATGGAGCTGTGGCCATGTGCCTTCCAAAGGCAAGTTTTTGACACACGAAATGCAGGCTGTTCCTGTGGGATAGTCTACCTCTGCCATAATGTGCATTCAATCCCTGCAAGGAAAGGAGAGGAGCCCACCAGCACCCCTCTGTGGTCAGTGGGCTGCATGGTGAGAGTTCACAACTCCTCAACTTTCACCACCCCACAGTCAGTTCAGCCGGAAAAGACTTTCCTGAACCTTCAGGTGAAGCTCTTTCTGCTTTAGTCTCCCTAATTCACTCAGGTGTCTTCGAGGAAATGGAATAATAATGAGGCCAAGCAAGCCACTCACGCCTCAACCATTAGAGGGACGTCAATGGCCTTAGAGATCCTGGGGACAAAACTCCCAGCCAGGCCGACATCCTTCCCACTGGGAAAATAGCCATTTTGGCCAGAAATCTGTGTTGGTGGTGGCTTTTCTCCCCAGCTGTGCCTTCCCCATGCACACCCTGTTGCAGTTCCATGTGCCACCGGCCACTGGTCTGCTGGATAACAAAAGGTCTCAGACAATACCTGTGGCCTCCCACACATATTTATTTCCATCTGCTTTTCTTGAAGATATGTAACCCCCACGACTGTCAATGCTGTATGATATTGCGAGCACAGCAGGGGCAAAACAACACCGCACCACTGTACTTCCCTTTTTAAGCTTTAAAAAGATGCTACCAGCCACATGGGGTTTCAGCTCAGGGCAGGGAAGCTTTTTTAATGAGAGGACTTCAAAAACAGATGTACTTTTGTAGCTGTGATGAAAACCTGCACAATAAAAAGATTAAAGTTCAGTGTGTCAAAGGACTGTTTGTTTGCATCCACAGAGTAGATGCATTCTTTGAAAGTTTATGTGTCAGGGCATAAAACATATCAGAAATGAGAAAGGCTGTTTGTTTACATTGTCCAGGTTCCATAAAAGAAGTGAAGAGAGTGTAAGATGGAGTGAAAAGTCTTACATAAAGTCAACATAAAGTTAATAATTTATTATTATTGTTATTATTATTATGTAATTTACAACTAAAACATAAAAGTTATTATTTGCCTGGTAGCTTCTTTTTAGAACTTTCCTAACAATTTTGTTTATTACAGTGCTTGTGACTTTTATATTTGAAGATTTTAATTAAAGTGATTTATACCAGCTTTTGGCAATCTTTGGGGGTTTTTTAAAACTTCTTTTTGACATACTGATACCACAACGCTCCCTACTTTTCTTTCGGTCATACATACATCACCTGTACTTTGTTTGGTTACCAACAAGAGTACCCAAACACATAAAAATTAAAGAAATCATACCCAGTTTGGTGTGTTTCAATTGCAGTTGACCACCAGTTCAGACGTCCTCCACCCCCAGGTCTGACTCGGACTCAACACATGTGTTGGTGACTGGCACACAGGAGCTATTAGGAGCGGCACAGGGATGTCCAGGCATGCAAAGGACAGCACATGGCATGGATCTTCAAAGGGTGGGGTTTACAGCTCACATGTAAATGCCTTCAACTTTAAAAGCTCTCTACACACACCCAGGTGACTTCTCTTTATGAAGCACTGTATATTTAGCTGATAGCTGCTGTTAGTTCTACACAAACAAAGCAGGAAGGAGATAAGTGAAGGGGACTGGAAAGATGCAGGATCCCAGCACACCAACAAAGGTACTATCTCAAACAGAACCAAACATCACCCTGACAGGGCCTGTCTGCAGCAGCAATGCCTGCCCCACAGAGCACCTGGTCTCTGGGGCTTTTCTTCCTTTGTGAATGTTGTAAACCTTGAATATGTGTGTGTGTATACTTACTTGAGAACACGGACAATTGTTGTATCTCGCACACATTCCAATTTATCTTTCCAGTTTTGACTCTGGAGGTCGGATTACTCACCTGGACTTTACTGTAGGTTTTACTTCCTGGTAGCTGGAGTAAGTTGCACCGTAAGACTTTTGTACATTTGTACTTTTGTACTTTTGTATATTTGTTGTACGTGAAAATAAAGAAACTGATAATCTCCTCAGAGCCAGGAGCAATTTGACCATCAACTCAGATTTGAGCCAAACAGGACAGTGAGGTCTTAATAGCTTTTGGTGATTTTCTGAAGTCTGAAATTAGCTATTCCCTAAAATATTTTTCAATGAAGGGCCAGGCTACTTTATCATGAGTATAAATCTGGTGGCAGTATTTATTTCCATGAGCTCCTTAAAAGTTTTCTGTAGACAGTCCAGGGTTTGGCTTGCCACATCACACACACCCAAAAAAGCCCCCCAAAACAGTGTCTGTGGAGGAGAACCCACCTGGTGAAAATCAGAGTATTGGAGTTCCTATGGACACAGCAGGCAGAGAGACTGCGGACATCTGTTGCCAGGACTCAGGATTCAAACACACCTCAGGCACTTGTTGGTATCTGAGTAAAGCCTGCAATTGGCCTTGTCAGTGTGAAATGGAGCCAAGGTCATAAAAATACTATTAATTACACATCATCACAGTTGAGCAACTATTTCTTTTATTGTCATGTGCAAATCATTTTACTGCTGTGGAGTACAGCTCACTAAAACAGTAAATGGCAAAACATGGAAGACTCTTCTCCATCACATTCATAACTTTCTCCTGGGGAAATTAAAGTTCAAAATGGTTTCCCTTGTATTTTTTGGTCAGTGTGTCAGTCGTTCAAGCTGAAGGAAGTGTGGAATAAAAAGGAAGGTAAACTCTACAGGGACACTGAACTCCCCAAGAAATCTTTCAGCAGCAATTTCAGCACAGTTGAAATGAGTTGGCTTAGTTAGTTTCCTCCTTATCTTGGGAGTTCTGCCAGAAGTCTTTGTGAACCATAAAATCTGCATTCTTTGTGCCCACTGTCAGTGGTACATCCTTCTTCCCAAGCTTTGCCAACCTCCCACTAGCTCTGAGATCACTGGAGCACGTCCAGCCCTAAACCTTAAACAAGGCAATTCTGCCAACAAGTAATTTATCTTTCTGACACCCGGACATCGCTTAAAGCTTGCTTGTTAGCTGCTATCTATTTCACGGGTTAAATCTCCCTTCTTGCTGATTAGGCTTAAAAGTAAACAAAAACCAAGCATCGAGGAACATCCTTTCCTAAGAAAATTTTACATATTCCACATTTGGAACAGGTTGGCTGAGCATCACCCCTGCAGCTGGGCTGCTCTTACCCAGATTAGAGATTTAGCCAACACACCCCAAAACTCACCTCCTCCCCTTCGCTCTGGGTGTGTGTGGAGGGGGGCGAAAACAAAGCACCTGTTAATGGCCGGTCGTTCGAGTCGTTAACCTTTTAACATCTCAGTCTCCCACGGGTGGTGGGAGAGCTGAGCGAGCGGAAGAGATCCATACACGAAATAGCGACTTAATTATTTTATTATTTTAATTAACGACATAACGTGGAAAGGTTTGGGAGACGGCACACACACCTCACATCCCGGCGGTGACAATGGAGGGGGCATGCGCAGGGCCCCGTCACGGCGCCCCGCCGGGGCCAAGATGGCGGCGGCCTTGCTGTGGCGGCTGTGCCGGGGCCCCGCCGGGCTCCGCGCCGCCCGCCCGTCCCTTGCCGCCGCCGCCGCCCCACCGCCGCCGCCGCTGCTGTCTCACCGCCGCCCCTGCGAGCACCCGCGGCCGCGCAGCTTCTCGGCGGCCGAGCTGGTGCGCGCCGCGCCGGGCCCGCTGCAGCCCTACCTGCGGCTCATGCGGCTGCACCAGCCCGCGGGTGAGCGCTGGGAGGGCCGGGCTCCCCGTGCCCGCGGTGGCCTCCCGTTCTACCCCCCCCCCTCACCCGGCTCACGCCACCCGTGGGTTTTGTCTCCCCGCAGGGACGTGGCTGCTGTACCTGCCGTGCACCTGGAGCATCGGGCTGGCGGCCGATGCCGGGTGCCTCCCGGACTGGCGCATGCTGTCCCTGTTCGGCGCGGGGGCCGTGCTCATGCGGGGCGCCGGCTGCACCATCAATGACATGTGGGACCGCGACTTCGACAGAAAGGTAGAGGGGCTCCCCCTGGGGGCTTGCGGAGACCTGGGCAATGCTGGCCGAAGGGAATTTACGGGAAGGATGGGGCAGGATTATTTGCGAGGGCGTGTGGCGACGGGACAAGCGGAAATGGGTTCAAATTGAAAGAGGGTAGGTTTAGCTTAGATATAAGGAAGAAATTCTCTACTGTGAAGGTGGTGAGGCACCGGAATAGGTTGCCCTGAGAGGTTGTGGATGCCCCATCCCTGGAGGTGTTCAAGGCCAGGCTGGATGGGACTTTGAGCCACCTGGTCTGGTGGAAGGTGTCCCTGCCCACAGCAGGAGGTGTGGAACTAGGTGATCTTTAAAGGCTTGCTTCCAGCCCAAACAGTTCTGTGATTCAATGAACCGCACAGGTCCACTTATATCCAGCATCGCAATCACAGAACCATTAGGGTTGGAAGGGCTCTCAGGGATCATCTAGTCCAACACCCTTGCCAGGGCAGGGTCACATGGAGCAGATTACACAGGAATGCGTCCAAGTGGGTTTGGAATGTCTCCAGAGAGGGAGATTCCACTTGAACAGATGCTATTTTAGTAGGTGGGGCTTTTTTAGCCAGGCACCAGGGATCTTGAAGGCACCGAAGTACGTGAACACGACCAGTGCGGCCTTGCTAAGTTCAAGCATAGGGCTCCAGGTTCAGAAATTCCTTCATGTTTCTCTCTGAGATGTGCACAATTAATTTGTCTACGTTTCCTCCTAAAATAGTAGAAATCATGTTATTTTGTATAACATTTCTCTCTAGGACTGTAATAAGCCATCTTGAGTACTTACCTCCATGTAGGATAAAACACATGCAGTTGTCAGCTGTAGGTAGTACTTGAACAAGTTTATTTCTCAGCATTGTTTTGCATGACAGAACAAAACAAGTAACACCTTTTTGCTACACTTGCTAGTTACAATCTACCTAAGAACCACTTTTTTTCCCCTTAATTTCAGGAGAAGTGTTTCCTTGTGTTGTTAATGTCTTCGTGAGAATGGCTATTTAGAATATCATACCCAACCCAGAGCTAATCCCCTTCTATTGTGTTGTATTTTTCATTTATCATCTTACTTTTGTTCAGGAGAAGGAAATAAGCAAAAGGCAGTGCCCAGTGTCAAGTGCTGAAATGTGCACAGGCTTGTAGGGGACTATCTTGGTGATGTGTCACTGTTTGCTGGTCCTATTTTCTTTTCCTATATTGGTTCTCTGGTTTTGGGTTTCAGTGCTGGCAAGAGACAGAATAATGAGCCAGTTCAATACGTGGAGTTCTTACTACAGCGCTGTTGTATTGTTGGGAAGGCAGTGAGTCAGTACGGGCTTTGTGGCAGCTTTGGATGGTTTAGGGCTTGGAAGATACAACTGCTCCTGCTAAGTGTATTTGATGGGGGGATGTCATTAGTATGAGGGAATTTTCAGTATAATGTTTTAATTTCTTCACTGTGCAGTGTGGTTAGATGTAAAGTTTTAAAAATTGCTGCCTTGGCTTTTCCTGATGTACTTTTTAAAAGGTTGCCTTCAACACAAGTGCCAGAAGCTGAGTCAACAGCAGGATGTTGGCTGGTGTTGGTGATAGTGGTTTGGGGGTTAGATTTTATGTTATTTATTATTTGGTATATGTTTTCTTCAAGTGAAACATCCCATCTCTGTTTGCAATGTGCAGTGGAATTGGTCACAGATAAGTTAAGTGAATGTTTAATCTGCAAAAGCATATGCAAGACATTTCATACGCATATGATATTCTGTAGCAAGTTGGCTTTTGAACTGCTTCAAAAAGACATTACACCATTTTCATCAACATGCCCAATTTCACAGAATCACACAGAACCATTAGGGCTGGAAGGGACCTCTGGAGATCTCCAGTGCAACTCCCTTGCCAAGGCAGGTTCACCCGGAGCAGGTTACAAAGGAATGCGTCCAGGTGGGTTTGGAATGTGTCCAGAGAGGGAGACTCCACAGTCTCCCTGGGCAGTCTGTTGCAGGGCTCTGCCACCCTCAGTGTAAAAAGGTTCTTCCTTATGTTGAGGTGAATTTCAGCCATTTGGGTTTTTTTTTTGCATTCGTCACCTTTGGCAAGTAACTCACCATTCATAAAATTTTAACGTTTTTCTGATATTTGTTTCTTTCTTCAGTTTGCCTTGTATGATTTATTATTCCAGACAGAGTTTCCAAACTCCATTGTATCCCAACTAGGATTAAATTATTTTTCTTTTCATTGTTATTAACCCTAGATTGATGGGGCTGGATTCTGAAAATCCCACTAGAGAGAACAAATGTAAAGAATAGAACTAGGGCCCTTTAATTTCTCCCCAGAAAATAGAAAATAAACGTTTTAAATTGCCCATCAGTTATTCCAATGCAAATGTATGAAGTTCTTTTCCTTGCTGCAATTATGGAATCCATGGAATAGAAGATTATTAAGGCCATGCATAATGGCCTTATTCATAATTCCAAGCCAACTGAATTTAAAATTTAAACCTGCCAGGCTGTTTGTATGTAAATTGCAATGCTTTAGAGTATAAAAAAAAATATAAATGCGAGAACATCATCAATTTCGAGTATTTTCAGATGTGTCTTTTCCCATCATTTCTGCTACATCAGATTTACTGCTCACTCTTTCTCTCTCAACTATACCATTCAGCATTCTTCTAGCAATGCTCTCTGTGTTTTTCCCATTCTTGATTGGAAAAACTCTCCAAATACTACTATGGTGGTAGGGAGTAGGAGTTACCTTCCTGGAATCTGCTTGCTTACCAGTATGGCTCAGAGCAAAATCAGTGCTGTCAGGCCATTACAAGACAGCCTTCTGAGATCATTAGGCAAAGCCTGCCCTCAGTTCTGCCTGCACAGAAGTGCTGGGTGGTACATAACCATTGGTGATGGTTGTGTGTGCTTGAGGAGCTCTGCGTCTTCATGAGATTTTACATGGTAATCATATTAAAGCATTTAAGCACAGAAATGCCGTTTGAAGTCAGGATAGTTAGCTCCCATCTTTATAAGTCTGATTTTATTTTTTTTTCCCTAAGGTGATAAAATTCACATGCAAGATGTCTGCAGTATTTCTAATCAACCTTACTCCATACAAGTGGCACCTCAATTCTGCACTAGCTTTTAAAGCCTGTTTGCTTCTGTTATAGGCAGTGCTGATTAGACATCCTTGATGTATTTCTGTGTTTTATCATTGAGGGAACCCCATCTACTGCATTCTGTGACCAGTTTTTGTTTAATTTAACATTTATGTGCTAATGGTGTGACTTTTAGTTACAAAAGATGCATTGGAATGTGTTATGTTGGATGGGGCTTTCAGCAACTCTGTCTAGTGGAAGGTTCCCCCTGCTTTTAACTAGATGATCTTTAAGGTCCCTTTTCAATCCAAACCGTTCTGTGATTCTGTGTTGGATTTGGGTTGACATAATTTCTGTTTTTCAGGTTGCAAGGACAGCAAGTAGACCCCTGGCAGCTGGAGATATCTCCACTTTTCAGTCCTTTGTTTTTCTCGGGGGACAGCTTAGCTTGGCGCTCTGTGTGCTTCTGTGTCTGAATTACTACAGGTGACGTATGAGTTATCTTTTGGTTTTTAAAATTTGATTCTGGGCCCAGAGTTAAGCACAGAGATTTTCAGCAGAAAAGGTGTTGGGGGCAGAGGAAAGGGGTTATCAGTAATGGGTCATATTTTAAAGTAAAATAATTAGTTTGTGTACAGCTATATGTACAGCTCCCATAATGCTGCACTACATCTAATGATCTTCAGCCTGGCAAGCAATAATCCTCTTGGTACTTTTTACAGTATTGTTCTGGGAGCAGCCTCTTTGTCCCTTGTGGTCACCTACCCTCTGATGAAGAGGATAACGTATTGGCCACAGCTAGTTTTGGGTGAGCTGGAAATACTTTTACTATTTTTTTTGTCAGATGTAGTTTTTGGGGGTGTTTTACAAATTAGTATTCGTGCTTTAGCGATCTGATTTTTTATAACTCTATATCAAAATAGAAATACCTTACAGGCAAAGCTCTGTGTCAGAAGCTTAATTTATAACATGCATCAGTTGACGTGTGGGTTTGGGGGTTTTTTTGGTTAGAAATCAGTTCCTTGTTTTGATGGAGTGATAGGAGGAAGAAAGGGAGGGAGAAAATAACTATTTGTCATTTGAGAATGAGATTTAGTTTTGTGGTTATCTCAAAACCTTTCTTAAATACAAATTTGTCCTGCATTTCAGTCTTCATCCTCTAAAATAACTCCAGTACAGATTCTGATGATGCTTGTATTTCAAGCTGAGCTACTAAAACATATCTATGTATATTGTCTATCACATTCCAGCTGTCTTCAGAGGGTTTCTTTACCAAAATTGTCATTTTTAGCCTCGAAGTACCTCAGTGGGCTGCTGTGTAGTGTTTTGCAGTCAGTTATGCTGATACCTTTTGTTATACTGACATTTAGGCATTTTAACTTTGGTCCTGTTGTTTGAGTATACTGGAATACTTCTGTGCAAATGTTTCCCTACACTAATGAAGTTAAATTATGGAAAAATGTGTGGCACGTGTATTTTTGCTTGTATGTCCAGAGTATTTAATGTCAAATTAATTATATTTATTACCTGCCTGAAAATAAGTGATAGAAAAATAGAGATCCTGGTATTGTACGAAAAGGTGTTGACATGATATTCCCTTGAACAAATAGTATTTAATTATGTGCACATAACTTAGATTGCTCCTGGCATTCTTGTAACTTTTTTCCTCTTTCTTTTAACTCTCTTTATGTTTTTAGGACTTACATTTAATTGGGGAGCCCTTCTTGGCTGGTCTGCCATCAAAGGGTCGTGTGACTGGTCCGTGTGTTTGCCCTTGTACTTGTCTGGAGTCATGTGGACGCTGGTATATGATACCATTTATGCACATCAGGTAGAGTAACACTGAGAAATTTCAGATCTCTCTGTTCAAACACACAAGTTCATGTGTTTAATTTACAACATTGTCAAACAGCAGAACTAACATGTGGCAGTTCTTCAGCCTCAGCTGAGCTAAAACAGCACCAAAGAAGTCTCAGCCCTTTGATGTTTTATTTTTGTTTGCAAATGTTTTATGTATCAGATAGAAAGATGGAAGTAAAATGTCCTTTGCACTCTTATGCATTTGCATTGTGTAAACAAATTTGATGTTGGTATTACCTCTTGGCTGCTAAAGCAGCTCTAAGACCAGCCTTCTAATTTAAATTTTAGTGTAGGGGCCTACAAATGTTTTTAAAATTTGGTTCCTAGTAAGATGCATTGGGAATTTAAGCAAGGCCTCCGTTTTTATTTTCCTTCTGAAGTGGCGTTGAATTGTAGATTTTTTTGCTAATTCATCCTTTTGTTCTAGGATAAAAAGGATGACATCATGATCGGTGTGAAGTCAACTGCACTGCAGTTCAAGGAGGATACAAAACAGTGGCTCAGTGGCTTCAGCCTTGCCATGCTCCTGGGTCTGTGCGTGGCAGGAATGAATTGTAACCAGACGTTCCCGTATTACTCAGCTGTGGCTGCCGTAGGGGCTCACCTAGCGCACCAGGTTTGATGGATTTATTCATACTTTTTCCGTGGGGAAGTTCTTAATAAGAAATCAGAGCACTTTTCAGCCCACATCAATCCACTACTTACCTGAAAAAAAAAACAGTTCCTACAAAGAGGAGTGAAGTGTTCTGACCTTAAGCTTGCTTCTCTTGAGTACCTTTTGCAGACCTTTTGTTTCAAGAGACTTTCAGTCCACAGATTGTGGAGCACTGTGTTTCAGTCTGTTCCTAACCAAAGGAAGTGCCCCACGTTAAGTTGTGATCTCAAGGATTTTGTCTCACTTCCAACAGCAGCTGCTGCTAGAATCCTCCTCAGTATCCTGCAAGATAAAAAAATTTTACTGTTCTGATACAGCTCTTGTGATAGCAGATGTTAATATTATAATTTTGTGTTAATTGACAGTTCTAATTCACAGTTCTTTTTCTAGCAGAGAACAATCCGGTTCAGTCTTTGTAGTTGCATTAGTTCGGAAATTTTAATGAGTAACAGAAAGAAAGAAATTGGCTTTGCCAGTAAAGGTAGCAGATAGGATCTTGCTGCCATTTTGTTTCTGAATGCTAACAACTGTGTTGCACAGTTCTGTAGTGACTAATCAGTCTATACAAAAATCAATTGTTGGTCTTGATAACCGTGAGTGATAGCAGAGGTTTGTGTATTGCATCTGTTGAAATCATTGACTGTTTAAGAAGTTTGTGGTTAATGTGGACTCTTTAAAGCACAGTAGTCTTACTTTACATTTTAATGGGTGGAGTTCATGCAGGTAATGGATATTAAAACACACCTCTGAGTAAGAGAATTCCTGTGGTGATGTAATTCTGGTACTCAGCCACTGCTTTCACAGTGATTGTGCTTGGAAATCTATGAAATCTATGAATACTATGTCAGCTTCATGACCATTTACAGTTTGAATTGTCAGAGGCTTCACATTGTAGTTTTGGCTGAAATGAAAATCATTTTGCTGCAGGGAGGATTCTTATAAGTGAGGATGCAGAGTTATTGAATGTAAGTGATGGAGAATGCATGACTGTGTGGACTGCCAAAGTCACAAGAGCAGCACTGTTTTGTGTACCGCAGAGTAGCTTCTCTTTGTGGGATTATTTTAATATTAGTCCTGTTTAAACACTCTCATGCTTATCTTCTTATTCAGGATTTCTGATCTTGTGCTTACCTGAGTTTAGAAAGCTGAGTAAGCTGCTTGAGTTCTAGGTTTTCCTTAATTCACTGAATTTTTGCGTGAGACAGAGGAATTTGGGTCATGATGATGACAAATTATATCCTTCTCAAGACGTTCACTGATAAAAACGTGACATCTTTTACTTTCTTTGTGTTTCTGAAAGTGTATCTCATGGCTTGGCTGCCACTGAGTTTTATTTGTCACTTCAGTGTTTCAAGTTCACAGTGTTTGAGGGGCTGACAGGTTTTTAAGGGTGTGGATAAAGTCTTTGAACTTTGTGAACAATGTTTCTGTTGATTTGATCAGGACCCAGCCCTGTTCTCTCTGTACACTCACAAATGCCAGACAAACAGATTTCCTGGGGAAGGTTTCACTTCTTTTACTTGAATACCTTCTAACTTTTTCAAAGGCTGATTGCAAGGTTTGAGGTTCTAGGGGGTACTTCTCCATTAATCCTTTAACTCATTTTGCTTGATGTTTCCTCTTGTCATCCTTCTCAAGACATTTGCACCAGATTTTGGTTTTGGGAATATTTTTCAGTAACTTTGCTCTTGCTATACCTTGTGTGGTTTATTTACCTTTATTTGTGACTCACAGCAGACAGCTGCTCTGCTGGGTAACCAAGCCTTGGTTCTAGCTGCTGTTTCAGGTGTCCTGGTTCTTGTTTGCAAGGGAATTGAATGGACATGACTAAAGCCAACTGGATCTGAACCAGCTGTGTGTGGCAAGGCAGGGCCTGGCACTTTCCTGTGCTTTCCATCTAGCCTGGGCAACTTCTGGCCCTCCAGTGCCTCTACTGAAACATGGGACAACACCTTTCAGCAGGGATTGAAAGATGTTGGCATGTTGTGGGGGGTTTATTTTTAATTAAAGTTCCCGCTGAAGAATTAGGTGGCTACCTACAGAGGAAAATCTCAAAAATACTTACTGATATGCCCAGATATTTTCACACTTTTAAATATCAAACCGGACACACCAGTAACCAGGCTGTTAATATATTCTTTTATTGAGACAATCTGGGAATCCTGTTCATATGTGATCCTTGACTTTTCTGCTGTATGTTGAATAAATCTGTCAAACATAGATCCCAGTTATGCAAAAACTTTTTTTAAGCACGGAGTATTCCTGTATCCTGTGGAGGTAAGGGTAGACTTTAGAGTTTACAAATAATTTTTTGAAGTTACAGACCTTCTTATGTCTTTTTGTGATGTGTCAAATATTTATGAGTCTGTAGAATAATAATCCTGTAATGTTGTACTGTGCTTTTGCAGATTTACACTTTGGACATAGACAAGCCTGAAGACTGTTGGAAGAAATTTGCTTCAAATCGTACTGTAGGAATTCTGCTCTTTACAGGGATTGTGCTTGGAAATCTGTGGAAACAAAAGGACTTAAAAAATGTAGAAGAGCCTTTAGAAAACAGATAGTTGAAATTACTATAAATACTGATATTTTAGTCCTGGTAAAATGTAAGTACTGTAAGAAGGAAAAAACTTTTAATATGTTTATAGCGGCTTTATACTGTTTGTTTTCACCAGCTTTTATAAATATTCTTGTTCCTAAAATCATGCAATTGAGATGATCCTATAATGGATGTTTCGATTATCTGTAAATAACTTCAGTCTCCGTAGAAGCGTCAATAAGTGAAGCTGCTCTGCTGGTCCTGTGTAGTGTCAAGCTTGTGTCAAGCTCTGAAGACTGAACCCAAGATTTTATACAAAACATAATGTCTCTTAGTGATGGCATGTGCAAAACTGCAAAATTATTTCAGGATGTAAATAAAATCTGCCTGTACATGTTTGATGGTCTGGTTTATTACAAGAATAATTCTGAGTTGGAGCTTGCTGGATGAAAGAATTGCAATAACTGTTTTCATCCTGAGATGTCTAAAAGCAGTCAGGACTTTTGAGTGTGTGAGTTTCATAACAAGTCAATAGAGAAGTATTTAGGATTACCTTTTGCTCTTGCTGTGATTGCTGACAGTGGGTGCTTTTCACGTGAAAAGAACAGGCTTCTGCAAACTTGCCTGCACAGAGTGGGCTGAGCTTGTTTGTCAAGAGTGACTTGAGCACAGACTACTGATTTCAAACAAAAACAGAGTAGCCCAGAGCTATTGCCAAGTGTCCATGACTGCTGGCTTACCCTGAGCTACAAATTTATCATGCTACATGTTGTCATACTTTTAGTTTTTTAATTCCGTTTGTTTTGATTTATGCCTACTGGTTTTATTTGTAGTCTTACAGGAAGAACTTGTTTCTAGGAGGATGCCTAGAAACAATAAAAATAGCAAGGGCAGGCTAACAGTTAAATTGCTCAAAACTGCTCATGTTTTCAGTTGGCTTATGCTCTCCCAGTTCCATGATGTGCACAGTGTTTAACCTTCACTTTGACTCCTGGTGTTAAAGAGCTTGAATGGCACATCGTGAAGTTCATGTACTGTGGCAGGAGGAGCAGACACAGGTGTTCTGGGATAATGATGCAGTGGAGCTTACCTGAGTTTCCATACTGGTTGGCAGCACAAGCACACTTTTCTCCATGGGTGACTGTGTGCATGCCTGCATGTGGGGCTGTGCTTTGGTGATACAGAATGTTTGGTTGCCAAGCTCGTTATGGTATCCCAACCACCTTTCCTGATGTCTGCTCTGCCTTGTGAGTGGTAGGGCACAACTTGTGTGTGCAGTCACAGCAATAATAAGGCTCAGTACTGCTCTGGCTCCAAAGATGGGAATGATATTTTAAGGTTATTTAAACCAGTATTTCTGAGAGACATTGCAGTCCAGAGCCATGTGTCCAGGGTTTGCTAAGGGTATTTTTGCATTGCCAGTGATGGTGAACAGGCGAAGCAGTTCTTGCTGCAGAAAAAAGAAAGCATCTAATGAGTCAATGGCTTTGGTCACAGAAGTTCCTTTCTGGGGCTGGAACTGCCAGTTCTGAACACTTCCTTCTAATGTACATCCTGTAAAGTTGCTTTATCTTTTACTATTTACATCAGTGATGTGAATACATTTTAAGCAAATCAGAAATAGTAGATTTTTCAGCCTGGCTGCATGTGAGATAGAAATACGTGAAACTATTAGGAAGTGTGAGTGCTTTTAGGGCATCCTCAGTCCCAACACAGAAATTGTTCTTAAATAAGGTTTATAAATTTGGGGTGGAGGAAGCATTAAGTTGAAAAAAAAAAAAAAAAAGAAAGGGTCAGTTTAAAATTACAAATACTGTGTTTCTGAACAATTATGTGACGAAGTTGCATTTTGTAGAGGGAGAATTGGGTTCCGTCCAACTCCATGTTGACCTTTGTTTATAAGCCATTTACTAGAGTAATTACAAAGCCTTGTGATGTAGTTAGTATGGATCAGTTTCTTAATACTACTTAGTATTACCTCAGAGAGGTGGCAAAAGTTATTAATCTATTTTTTATACGTTGCAGTGTCTGAGTAGCTCAGATTTGTGAAAAGCTCCTATTTTGTAGTGCCTTTGAACCTATTGGTGTCCTTTGTCTGATGACTGCTTGTCACAAGCATTTGCCTTGTAATGAGAAGAAGAAGAAGGTGTAGCTAAATAGAGTAAAAATTGAAGTTTCAAAACTGTTTTCATGTCCTAAACTGGAAAATCATTTCATGGTTTTTGCTGTGGGAGTTTTGCAAGTTAATCTCAAAGTGCATTTTACGAAGATAAGCCATAGCTGTATTTTAGATTAATTGCCTGCAAAACTAAGGAAGGTTGAGGTTCTAGGCTGTATAGTACTGAGGATGTTATTTGCGTGAGCATTTTATGATTAATACACGGAAAGAAGAAGTAATTTTTTAAGTGCAAAACAAACAAAAGTTGGGCTACTTCCTGAGTAAAACCCTGTTTGGCAGGTATAGGTGCATCTTCACCTTTCATTCCCAAGCTATTCTATTTCTAATCTTCACAAGGACATGCTCTGCTGTATTTAGATACAGATTAGTCTATTAAAAAGTTCTCAAATAGAGCCTGTCTCTAAGCATCAGCTTTATTATTAGGTAGTGTGCTTTTGCATAAATAAAACAGTGTCCTCTGGCTCCTCCACTGTCAAACCTTGCCTTTCTTGTTTCCTTCCTTTTCCAAATGTTCCTCCGCAGGATGTTGAGGTGATAAATGTTTTTGCAGGCAGCAGGAAGGTCCGATGTGCCTGGCAAAGGCCTACTGAAACACTTCCAGTTCCTCTGTGGACCAGAAAATTGGGTAACCAACACCAGCCCTCACCTGCATGTGCTCCCATTGTACTTCGTAGAAAGGTGTATGAAAGCAAGACCAGCTCTTTGTCCAGGATTAGCCCTACAGAAATAGGGTGCTAGTTCCTCCAGGGTTGCAGGGAGAGGTTGTCAAGGCATCAGCAACCCTTCATGGTGGATCTGGATCTTTTCCTTAGGAGCCCACTTAACACAGTGGCACATGGGAGCTTTCAGGCTCACCTTTGACGAGGGAGGGACTCTCCAAAGGGTCAGCCAAGGCAAACTGTGCCTGGATTCTGCTGTTTGTGTCTTTCTCGGTAAATGTGGTGGTGGTGATGCAAGGGGGCCAGATTTTTCCCTCCCTCCGTTTGAGAGTTTGCTGCAGGTACTTGGCTCCGGAGCTGCGGTGAGTAAACACGGGCCAGCAGACTTGGCTGGCAGGAGCCAAGAGCCCCAGGGGCCACCAGGGCAGCAGGTCAGGCATGTTGCCAGCCACTAACAAGGCTGGTAACATGGCCTGGCATTGAACAAAGGACACCAGTTGGTTCAAAGGCACTACAAAGTGGGAGCTCTTCCCAAATCTGAACTGCTTAAAGTCGTATCACATAATTGTTCAGAAACTTACTATTTTTAATTTTTAATTAAAAGGGAGACTTGACTAGGTCAGAAAGGTGTGTCAGTGTGTGGAAAGATCAGAGCACCACATCACCTGCACCAGCACAGCACTATGATTAGCCGGTATTCAAGGGAGACACTGAAAGCACAACTGTTGTGATGAGGGAGTGGTGTGGTAAACAAAGTGTAGGGAATGTATTTTGCGGGCACTTCTTTGTTATTTCCTTTTGGCAAAAGCTGGGAAAGGGCCGTTAGTTTATTTTGAAACACTTCACGGTACAAATACCAGGAGACAAGCTCTGTTTAAGCTTCAAAAAAAAGCTGACAAGAAAAAATGTGGGTGTTAACTGGCCATGGATAATGTGAAGTTCAGGTACTAGCTGAAGGTTCCTGGTGTACTGGAGAGGTGAGTTTCCTGCAGTGCCTCCCTGTAGTTTGTGACAGAGGCAAAAGGCCAGAGCAAATTTTAACACAGTGTGCTAGATGCAATCTCAGAATTACAAAGAAAATCAGAAAAGAATTCATGTGTTTTACAGTACTTCTGTTTTCCTGCCACTTCCAGGCAGCTGTACATATGTGATTTTGTCTGAACAGAGCAGAAAGGTCTAGTACAATTAAACCAAAACAAAACCAACAACAAAAAAACCCAGTGTTCAATGCCAAGTTCAAAACTTCTAAAAATACAGCTTTAATTTCTGGAAAAGGGAGTGTAAATCCACATCCTAATGAAAAACAAACAAAACCCACTCCTGAATGCTTACACCAGCAGAACACAGTTCCTCTCAATTCGAGAGCTTGGCTGTGGCAGGTAGAGTAATAAGGAAATACACCTAATATAAAAAAGTTGTTTCAACTGCATAAAGAACAGAACCAAGCCTGTAACAAGCTGTGAGGGCAGTGGGGAAAGCAGGGGCGTGCCCATTCCACAGGACCTTGGGTTTTTTTCCTGGACTCACATCAAAGCATTTGGAACTTTCGGCTCTGAATGAAAAGTATCTCCGTCTCAACAAGTTCCTGAAAGGAGGTTGTAGCCAGGTGGGAGTTGGTCTCATTTCCCGGGTAACAAGTGACAGGAGAGAAAACGGTCTCAAGTTGTACCAGGGGAAGTTTAGGAGAAACTCTTTCACTGAAATGGTGGTTAGGCATTGAAACGGGCTGCTCAGGGAAGTGGTGGAAGTGGTCAAAAGGTGTGAGGATGGGGCACTTGGGGATGTGGTTTAGTGGTGAACATGGCTGTGCTGGATTAGGGGTTGGGTTCTGTGATCATAGAGGTCTTTTCCAACCTTAATGATTTTACTATTCTATATTGGAGGAAAATAATTTTATCTCCAGCTTAACCTTGCAAGCAGAAGCACGTACACAGCATTAGGGGAGTGTTTCCAGGAGAAGGTTCAACAGTGTTAGGTGTCTGCTTAATAGAAAAACCTGTGTGCATTTTGTGTTGCTTCTCATGTGGTAGCATGGCCAAATATTTATCAAACAGATTTTCCAGCTTCATCAGGGCTTATTTTCCCCAAAATGCTGTCATATTATTAACTACTTTTTCAGGGGATATATATAAATGGCAATAAAAGTACTTGAGAGAAAATAGAGGAAAGGACAGGTTTTAAGTGCATTACAGTTGTGCTTTACTTAAGGTACCATGAATTTGTTTGCTTAGAGATGACATGATCCTTTTTTTCCCCTGCACTTCCGCGTGCGTGACGCTGCACAGTGGGTGCAATAAGGCAATAAATGAAAGGTTTGGCAGGCCCCTGGAAAGGGTCGTGCTGAGTGTATCTGTCAGGTGAGGGGCTGGGAGTTTCCTGCCTCCTTCCTCCTTAGGAGGAAGACCCAGGGCAGAAAGCCAAGGCTGTGTAAGCGCAGGTTGTCCCTGGAGCTGAAGGGGCTGAGGTTGCTCTTGGCTCGGAAAAAGACAGGCTGAAGGTCTGGTGCTGCAGTGCGTACCTGCTCTCCCAGGTGACAGGTGATGAAGACCTGGTTGCTCAACACCAAGCAGGGCTCTGGCACCTGCAGTTTCCTCCCTTGTTGGGAGGAGCTGATGAATGTGCTTTCCGCTGCTGGACCACTGCCAGCACAACCCAGGGACCAGTAGCCTGGTCTGTTGTCTTCAGGTTTTGCTTGAGAAACCAGTGGTAAGGGCAGCAGGGGCAAAAAGTTGCCTTCAAGAGTTTGAACTGCTCAGAGCTGATTTATCTATGACAAGGTAAGTCAGAAAAACGGAGGTTAAACACATGGGGAGCTACCATCAGAGCCTATGACCTACCCCACCATTAGGGCGAGCACGTTGGGTCATGAGACTGCCATGGAAAAAAACCAGCAAAGCTCTTCTCAGAAGAGGACTTATGGTCATGTACACCCAGCAGGTGTGGAGCCACACAGCTTCCCTCTCTTGCACATCATCTCTCCCGGTTCAACGCTCTCTCCATAACTTCTCCCATCTGTCTGAAAAAGCATCTTTATTATTAAGTACTAAAGGCTCTTTTTAATCAATAGTACAACTTACTCTAAGTAACATCGATACATTTAAAAAATACTTTTCTTATGTCAAATGCTGTTGCAAAGGGTGTTGGATGTGCTTCTGCCAATACCTTGGCAAATGTTGGATTAACTTCTCGATGCATCACGTGTGGGTGTTCGCACAGATTCTGCTTAGGTGCTCCTTGTGTATGCTGGGGGCAGCACTACTGAGTTAAAGCAAGGATACCACGTGTGCTGGACACGAGGGACAGGAGAAGGTAAGGTCCATCATCCCCTGCAGTGTGGAGGCAGAAGCTGGCAGCTTGGGATGAAACTGCCTTAGAAATGGCACACAGCACGTGTCCAAGCTGGAAATAGCCAAAGGTTAGCTTACCCCAGAAAGCTTCCAGAGCTGGCCCAAGAGCAGCTGAGGTTCTCCTGCTTCCCACCACCATCTGGGGACAGGGATGGGGACAGGAGGATCTGCACTTGCACCCTCTGGAAGCTCTTCTGCTTGCATGCAGGTGCAAATCTGTGAATTTTTGAGTTAGGGAGTTAATGAAGCAGCAGACTACAAAATTGATGAGTTGGACTGGTCTACAAAGAGGTTGATTTTTACTTTAGTTGTTTTTTACCTTGTGAGTTCCTGAGATAAAGCTCGATTCCCAGAGGGCATTAATTATCCTGCAGCTCTGAGTGACCTGGAGAAAGAGTGGCACGACTGCAAGCGTAACAACGAGATGTGCACAGGAAGCAGAAGCTCAGCCAGGCTGCGTGAGACATCTTGTGACAAACCATTGCCCAAGCCAGCGTGCAGCTGCAGAGGGATTTGAAACCACTTCTCCTAATACTTTCATTTAGGTCTGACATGCCATGACTGTGAGCTGCTGCAAAGCAGGTGATGCCCCCAGCCCTAGCTGTGAGCGCTACACTGTGGGCTGGACCTCATGTCTGCGTGCCTGCGGCACAGGGGGTTCAGGCACCTTGCCCAGATGGCACTGCACCCTCCCAGCCGTAGCCCCAGCACCATTTTCTGTCTGATCAGCCAGCCAAGCAGACCCACTCCTCCGTGTGCAATGTCCCTGGCGCGGGAGGGACAAGGAATGTGCAGACGTGGGCAGGGAGCAGCTCTCTCCTTGTACCAACTGCAGTGGCTTCAGTTTTGCTGAGACGTGCACCTTACCCTTAGCCATACTTCTAAGGGATGTGAAAATTCCCCTTTCTCAACTCCTTTCTCCTATGGCTTTTATAGATGCAGGATTTTTCCTTCAGCCTGAGTCGTTTCAAGCTGTGGGATGGAAGCAAGGTTTGTGGGAGATGTGCTCTTCCATTGAACCAGCTGAGACATCCAGAAAAAAGTGAATTTTCACATTCAGAAGCTCTTTTTCCATGTCTGAAATGAAACCCAGAGGCTGTTCTTCTGCTTCTGGAAAGGGCTGGTGAGACCAGAGCTTTGGAGAGAGGCCCCCAGGGACCCTCCTCTGCCAGGCAGCCCCCCGAACCTGCACACCACTGGGTGTGCACAGACCCTCTGTGAATAAACCCACTTCTCACCACTTGAGATGGCAGGGTTTGTGTAACCAGGAGCGCAAGGCAGTGTACTGAGGAAGGTGGCTTTGCTCATTTGTGGTTGTGTTTTGAGCTGTGCTATGGAGTTGTTTGAAGAAGTACAGAGAATGGGCATAAACATTCAGATCTGAGTGGCCTAAAATGGAATAAACTAGTTTCTGGTTGCAACTGCTCTGTAAAATACAAATAATTCATGCTTTGTTCTTTGCAGAGAAAGCAAAAAGGTATTAAAAAAAAAGTTGTGGGTTTTTGTGTTAGTTTTTTTGTTTGGTTGTTTTTTTTTAATCTGTGCTCCTATGTCTTCATCAATATTGCATTTACTGTAGTAAACTGATGAATATTAATTTCAGATGAATTTTTCCATTGTCTGCTTGGAAATTATCACAGAATGGTTTGGGTTGGAAGGAACCTTAAAGGTCATCTAGTTCCAAACCCCATGCTGTGGGCAGGGATGCTTCCCACTAGACCAGATTGCTCAAAGCCCTATCCAACCTGGCCTTAAAGACTTCCAGGGACTGGGCAAGCACAACTTCTCTGGGCAACCTGTGCCAGTGCCTTACCACCCTGACAGGAAAGAATTTTCTCCTAACATCTAATCTAAACCTACCCTCTGTCCATTTAATGCCATTCCCCCTTGTCTCATCACTCCATGTCCCTGTAAAAAGTCCCTTTCCATCTCTCTTGTAGCCCCCTTTATGTACTGGACAATGCTAATAGGTCTCTCTGGAGCCTTTTGTTCTTAGCACCTGGAGAAAGGCTTTATAGGGTTGGTTTTGTTAGCACATTTCCTTTCTACATAGCTGTTGAGATGTTTTGCTCTTTGCTGTCTTGCTGTCGCTAAGAGATACACCCTCTGCAGCTGACCATCTGTCTCCTCGCAGTGCCACTTCACAGACCTGGAGAAGCCACATGTGAAGGGGGTCGGAGCCAGGAGCCACCAGCAGAGCCCTGGTCGGGCCCTGTGGTGAGCTCTGGCCAGAAACCACAGCAGCAGCTGCAGCACGAGGCAATCGGTCCTCCTGCCCAGCACTGGGCAAGGGTGATGCTCTTGCTGTGAAGTTTAGGAATCCACATTTTGATTTCACTGCTGACATTTTTGCTGGGTTTTTTCGTCCAACTGAAATGCCGGGTGAAGGGAATAAGCTGAGGTGGGTGTTTATGAAGGACTTTTTATTGTCACAAAGAGCAGATGCACTTGATGCACCAGGATTGCATATAGGAGTGGGTGGCCTTTCTGTGGAAGAAAAGCATTTTCAGGACTTGATTGCTCAGTCAGGGTCACCCGAGTTCTTACGGAGGACAAGCTGTTAAAATCCTTAAAATGTTGGTGATGAGTGCTTTTTTAATGTGTTAACTCACATACTGGCTATGCATTTCAGCTTCCCATTTCCCTCCTTTCCTAGGCCAGCTGGTATTTGCATGAGCCAGCGGGATGTCACGTACCCCCTCTTCCAAGAACTACAACTTTTTGCAAACCTCAATTTCCACAGCCTCTTGCAATGTTTTGGGGAAAAGAAATGATTCATTTATGATTCAGCCAGGGGGTGGCCAGGCAGCCCCATCATAAAGCAGGGAGAGACACAGTTAAACTTTGGAGCTATTGGAAGCTGAGGGAAGCATTTCAGGGCACGGCTCACTGTTATCTCAGCAGGACTATTGGTAAAAGGCTTCCTTTAAAGCACCATAAATCTCAGTCTCTTGATAAAGCTCCTAAATTGCAGTTTAATCAAACTTCTTCTTTCTCTGTTCTTGTCAAGTGTGAGAGAAAAGGGGAACACACCATCAGCACTTCCTGTGGGATGCATTGAACGTGCCTTGCTCCTGAGCAAGCACTTGCTCAACCCTCTCTGGGCTCTCTGCACACTCCTGGTGCCACAGATTCTCTGCAAAAGGTGGAGGTGTATCCAAAACTGTCAGTGACTTGCACAGGGCCTGAGTGGTTAAATATTTGGGGCATGTTAGTGAACAAACAGTAAATATTAGTCTATCAAAGAGGGAAATTGATGTGTGTATGGTAAGTACTCAATTTTACAGTGGCTGGGCTACACGGCTTGTGACAAGCACTTAGAGAATCAGCCTGATTTTTCTAGAAAGCCTCCAAGTGAGGTGTATTTACCAAGTCAGAAATTATAAACCCAAATGCATCTGCTGAGAAGGAGCAGGGAGCAAACTGCAGATGGAGAAGAGGATTAAAGTCAAAGGTGTCATTGCTCCCTGCTGCCTCCTTGTCTGGGGCTGAATGGAGGTGTAATAGGATGGCTGGGGCTTCTCCTCATGTCAGGGTCATGGCACAGGGTGCTGACCTGCAGGGAGCTGCCCCCTGGTGCAGGTGGGTTTAGCTGCTGCTGGCTTTGACTGAGAGTGCCCTGTTTAGCCCTCTGCATCAGCGGGCTGGGGCAGGGACTGTTCTGAGCTCCACAGAGAGGTTTCAGTCCCCCAGAACCCCCTGACACAGCCCCTTTGCCACCACACTGCCCACCCACCGTTGCCAAACCTGGCTGTTAAAGCAAACAGGTCTGCATCAACCCCTTTGTCCAAAACTTTTTCCTTAAGGAAAGGGAAGAGCTCAGAGTGAAGCACTCGGAGGTGCTCTGCCTTCAGTCTGGTCTGGGATATAAGTACAATTTTTCTGTGTGGAAAAATGTTCGGAAAATGTCTGTCCCAAAGAATGCATATTATTCAGAGCTGTTCTCCCCTGAAGAGCAACAACAAGGAGGCAGAGTTAAGGGAATAAAGAATAGACAATAAACATGTCACTTTTTTTTTTTTTTTTAAATAGGATGAATAGTTAAGTCTGGGAAAAGGAAACCTGTCCGCTGCAGGCTTGTTAAATCTGTAATCCTAACGACAGGGCAAATCTTCACACCACCCCCTTCAAGTTACCTCCCACCCATTATATTTGCCTGTTGTTGGCTGCCAAGAAGAACTTCCAAGCGTGCGCAAGTTTAGTTTCAACTTCCCCAGAGCTCTTTCTGCACAGTCCCGGCTGGCCAGGAAGCCTGCTCTGACAGAGGCTGCTCACCAGAAGGTTGGTTCTCTTAAGGCATGGAATTATTAATAACTTTTTAGCTTGGGAAGAGTGGGATAATAATGCCGAAGTAAGGATTTATTTTTCCCCCTGCTTAGCACATAATTTAAAGCAACCTATCTTGCAAATTCTACTTGGGGAAGGGGGGGGAGGCTTTTAAAAAGCTATGCATGAAAGCTGGATTAGGTAGCACTTTCCTTTGCTGCTTTCTCCTGCTGTCAGAATCGCATAACTGTGTTAAGGAATCGGACTGGTATTTTACCCTCTCTTTAAACCAGGCTGGCCTGCCACGAGCTTGGGTATTGATCGCTTTCATAGGTTGCTGCCTGATCTCCCTGTGTGTTTGTTGTCCCTTCTGCGGGATTTGCTATTGGTGGCAAGAGCAGCTTTGTTGTGTAGTCTTAATTTTTACAGCTAAGAGATCTGTTTGCATGTTTGCAGCTAGGAGAGGAGAAAATTTGTGAATAATATTCGTGTACGGAATACTGTACACGTAGAGAGATTCACCATGTGTTGGTAGCACGGCCGTGGGTCGGCAGAAAGAAGCTCTCGAAGGCATCACACGCTCACAGTTCCCTCTGGACACGCTTGGTACTGCCTCCAGCTGCATTTCCTTTCAACTCGGCACCTTCTGTGATTTCTGTGATTCATGCTGGGCTTGCAGGCTGGCTTGTGCGGCCAGGTGAAGCCAGGAGTGGGATTTCTGGAGAAGCATGGGTTAATCCAAAGAGTGGGGAGTACTCCCCCTCCCCCAGCAGCTCCTACTTAATTTCAGTTTCTATTCTGGCTTTTGAGCTCAGAAACTGCACAGGGAAGAGCTTGATTAGCCAACACTGTGGTGGTGCCTTTGCCAAGCTGCTGTTTCTAAGAGTTAAAACAAACCAACCCAATTTGTAGAAAAAAGGAAAAGAAGTCTTAACATATGTGGGCAGGCGTTATCTTATCTAGAAAAACCTAGCCCCAAAGCCAAACTTTCTTTGAATTCTTATCTAAGACTGTTTTGCACTTTTTCTACTTGGCTAGGAAAATAGAAGCAGAAAGAGTAGTTATTATTATCATCATCATCATCCCCACCATTATCATAATTATCATTATTATTATTATTATTACTGTTTAGACCTGAGGCTTACTGGTTTTCAAGATTTACTTTATCGCTTAACCATAGGAAGGCAAGGAGAGGGTGTCACAGTTGGGACAGAGCCTTTCTGGCTCTCTATGACAAGAAACTGGAGATAAGAGTTTTCTATAGTATTTCTCTTGCGTGGAGCCTGGCTTTGCTATGAGGAATTGAGACCACAGGTGCTTCCCACATGCTTTGGACCCATGCCAATGCCATCTTGTGTAAAATAAGCCAAGTCCAACAACTGAAATGCCCAAGTCGTTTCCTTTAGCTTGGGTTCACTGCCCAGCCCGCCTTGGCTCAAGGGAGATCAGTGAGCTGTGTCTGAGCACTAGTGAAACCTTTCTGGGGTGGAGTGGGGAATGCCAATGGCCTGATGCTGTTTTGAAGGCTGGATAAAGTAGTAGAAAATGCAAAAGCATTGAAAGGACACAAATGCAGGTAAGACATGGTTGTGCTTTATCACCTCCAGCGACAACAAGCGAGCTGGGCAAAAGGCAGCCTGCTGAAGGGTCATGGCCCACAGTTTGGTTGGAGGTTCAGACCAACCACCGTTTTTTCACTAAGTAACCTTTTTCCTGTTCCCCACCTGTCTCTTTCAGAAGAGCATCTAGGAATGACTGCCCACACCATCGTGACGATCCAGCCGAAGTGTGGCGCGCCCACTGCCTTGCGGTACAATTGGCAGACGGGGCTGATGGACTGCTGCTCCGACTGCGGCGTCTGTGAGTGCCGTGGGAAGTCCCCTCTCCCAGCCCTCAGCAGGGGTGTGCTGCAGGCAGTCACACACCCTCTCGAGAGGGTGTAGCCCCGATCTCCCAGTTCTGAGTGGGCAGGCACACCCTCACCCCCTGCTGTGTTCCTCCCCCCTGCCAGGCTGCTGCGGGATGTTCTGCTTCCCCTGCCTCGCCTGCCAAGTGGCCGGGGACATGAACGAGTGCTGCCTGTGCGGGACCAGTGTGGCCATGAGGACCCTCTACCGCACCAGATACAACATCCCGGTCAGTGGGTAACCTGCCCCCTCACCCTGCTGCGAGGCTGAAAGGCAAGCTGCCTCCCCAGGGAGGTGGTGGATTCACCATCCCTGGAGGTTTTGATGTGCCATGGTCTAGTAACCACGGCGGGGTTGGATCAAGGGTTGGTCTGGATGATCTCAGAGGTCTTTTCCAACCCAAGTGATTCTATGATTCTATAAGGGATAAGCACAGGGCAGTGCTTTCCCCTTGCCATTGTTTTCCCTTTTGTATCCTGCATGATACCAGAGCACAGAACAGGGACATCCTCAACTGAACTAATCCCTGGGCTGGTATCCAATAACACATATAAACTGGACAGAGCTCCTTCCCAGTACCCTTCCCTGGAGGCACGTGTCCTGCCCTCAGCTGCTGCTGACCACAGTGGCTTGCAGAGCCTGGTCTGCTGCTTCCTCCTTTTATCTTTGAAAGATGGGACAGATTTGAGATACTTGTGAGCAGATTAAAGAATAGATGAAGTTGGTCATACAGGTAAGGATCTGTAATCAGATTTGGGAGAAAGGTGGACAGTACATATGTGAAGGGTTTACATCCTTCAAGGGGTGGACTGGTGCCATCCCAAGTAGAAATCATGAGGGCCCAAGTTCACGTTGCCCAGATTGTCTCTGTGTGCATTTTTCTCCCCAGTCTGAACCTCAGAAGCCAAAGGGTGAGCAGCTATCTGCAACTTGCACAAAGGACTGTCTTCTTCCTTTCCATAGTGCCAGGGGTTCACCAGCCCTGGGCTTCAGTGTCTGCGACCCAGGATGCTGCAGCCAGCCAAGAAACAAAGGGCACACAACCTGGAACGGGATTAACATTTTCTTGGCTGGAACATGGCTTTTGGGAAGCCTCTGTCCTTAACTAATTTCGTCCTAACAGGGGTCCATTTGCTCTGACTTCTGTATCACCCTGTGGTGCCCTGTGTGCTCCGTTTGCCAAATGAAGAGAGACATCAACCGCAGGAGGGAGCAGGGCATATTCTGGTAAGCTGGGGGTGCTGGTGCTGCTTTATAAAGCTGCCATTACATGTGGCCAAGAGGCTTCCCAGAGTGTCTCCTTCCGACACCTGACACAGGGTTGCTGCACTGGGGAAATGGCCATGGACATGTGACAAAAGTGACCTGTCCTTCAGCAAGATGTTGCTGGGAACCTCATGCAGGGTGGAGAGGGAAGGACTGGTGGACACACAGAGTGTGGTAAGGCACAGCCCCCCACCCTGACTCTCCTCTCCTATCCCATTGCAGATGGATCCTCGCTGCATCCTGTGGAGCTGCTGTGAGCAGGAGTTGCCGCTACCCTGGCTGTTGGGAAATGCTCCATGTGAGGATTGCCTTGATTGTAGCTGATTTCCCCTTCCCTGAGTAACTCCAACAATAAAGTTTTGACTTTGTCTTCCTACCTCTGTCTATGTCACTCTTGTACCACCTGAGAGGACCTGCCCTTCTCCTGCTCTGTCCACCCTCAGCAATCCTTGGTGCAGCTGAGATTTCCCGTGCCTGCTGCAGAGAAGGATTTTCATTAGTATTTTGTTATTCAATCAGCTTTTAGAAAGGATGTATTATACATGGGAGGAGTCAGCGTTGCTCATTCAAGTTGTAGAAGTTGGACAAGTGACTGACTACAGGGTAGAAGTGGGGCTTCCTGCAGACAACTGACGTCTGCAGGCCACCCAGTGCTGACTCGCCCTGGCTGTGGTGGCCTGGGTGGCTGTCCAGGGCTGCTGACCAGTCCCACCGTTACGAATATAAAGGCATGGGGATTTGGGGCTGCTTGGCACCAGCCCACCTCCTATGTTACAGAGACATGCTCCCCTATGGACCCTGAGCATGAATTCCCACCCACCTGCAATTCCCACCCACCTGCAGTTAAAATCCTGGTTGGGTCATGTATTGGCCTGTTGCCTTCCTGCATGATCCTTTAGAGCCCATCTGCCTGCATTGGGCAGTTAGCCCTGGCACTCCTGTCCAGGAGGTGGAGGTTGCATCCACCCTCTCTTCCATCACTCAGAGAAATACTAAAGGATTTTCGATCCCTGAAAATATTCCCTAGATTCACTTTTTAAGGAAAATAAGAGAATTTTTTGTCCCCTCTCTGCCTTCACCACAAAACCTTTAAAGGGCAGGCAGTGGCTCTGACCATGCTGTGGGGTGGGTGTACCTGGTGGCTCTCCCACCTGCCTAAATCCCAGTTTGCCCAGACAGTCTTGTGGATGATTCCTGGCCATACAGAAAATGAGGTTTTGGCCTAAGAGAGGTAAAGACCAGGAAAGCGGAGAGGGAGGGGAGAAGAAAGACCAGGCTGCCTCATCATCCCAACACAGCGTGTTACGATTTTGTAGATGTCACTCGAGGCAGCACCTGTGGCACCCAGTGTAGTTACAATCAGCTCTTGCTGATGCTCAGGGTTAATGAAGGAAAGGCACTGCACTTACAACAGAATATGGCTTAGGGCAGCACAGGAGCCTGGAAACAAACTGCCCTTCCCTGAAAACGTCTCCCAAAAAAGGTGTGTCCCATTGGGGCTCTGGGCCTTGGGAATGCTGGGGTGGGGAAAGGCGAGGGCGGGCACCAGGAGCCCAGCAGGAGCAGCAGCAGGCTGGCAGCCTGCAGCAAGGGAGCTGCAATTGCACAGAGCAGCACCGAAACCAGAGTTTGGTCTTTGAGTCAGAGAGCAGAGGTCGTTTGCCAGAGAATATATAAGGGATGACAACCAGGAAAAGCACGTACATGCTCCTGGGACAAGGACGGCTTGGAAAGTATGTATGACATAGCTTTGCTTCAGTTGAGGTACAGAACTATGGAAATTGCTTGTGGCTTGAAGCAGTGGTGCTGGGGAAGGGCTGGAGATAAAGTGAGGTTTTCTACCTGGAAAACTACTTCAGGGCTAAAGCATGGCATGCTGCATGCTGCTGACAGGCATCTCAACAGAAGTGGGCAGCAGAGGTAGAGGAGAGCAGCTTTTTGCACTGTATTGTTCATTTGTGCATATATACATGGGCCTATAAATGCTGCTTTATGACTTGGTTACGGGTGAAATGTGGCTGAATGCTCTTCAGAATCCTTTTGTTCCTGTCAATTGTTTCAATGCAGCTGGTGATGCCGTGGGGCTGTAGAATTGGAGGCACCAGGGGGGATAATGTTGGATGTGCTGGGCCCTGGGCCATCTCTCAGGAGGTGATTGTGTGCCAGAGGCTTCTCCAGGCTGCTGCCTGCTCTGTGCTGCAGCTTCCATCTGTGCAGGGATGTGGTGTGCTTGCACTTGGGGAGGGGAAGGGAAGGTCCGTGGTCAGCCCCACCTGCAAAGGGCACAGTGTGTAAGCACCACTTGGCTGCGTTTTTATGAGGTGCTACTATTGATCACATTATCTGGCGGTGCAGGAGCAGCAGGGGAGGCTGATGGGGTCCTGCCCCTAAAACTTCTCCTGCTGCTGCTGCTCCTGTGCACGTTTCTCCCTGTGGTCATGCCTGCTGCTGGGCATCCCTGTCGCTGCGTGGGACCCCCATGCTGTCCCTCCCTGGTGTCCCCAGTCTGTCTGTGCACAGCCTGTCTGTGGTCTGTCTCCTCCCCTGCCCCTCCTGGTTCCCGATTCTTACATTGTCATGTGTCAAGGCTTCTCGAAGGGGCTGCTGTTTTGGCGTGCCAGGAGGTGTTACATTGGCTGCAGAAGTGGTGGGAATTACCTGGGATCTTGTGCAGGAACAAGCAGGGCCAACTGGCCAGGGCAGGGCCAGGAGGTTTCTGGTGAGGGATGGTGGGTGCAGTGGCCCCTGCTGCACCCATGGTTGCTGGGGTTGCCCAAGCTTTCTCCAAAGGTCTCTGCCTGGAAGCAGTGGGGTGACTTGCCCCAGGGAGGGCACAACAGCAGTTTTACAGCTTGACAGCCTTGTTCAGTAGCAGGAAACAGCCTGATCTTTAAACCCCAGCAGGACAGCGATTGAGACACTCTCACCAGCTGTTGCTCTGCCCTTTCCAGGCCACTCATCACCGAATGGGAGCAGGTGCCAGTGTCTAAGATAGGAACAGCCCAGCCATACTTCCTCTGCTTGCAGAAAGCTGCAGAAAGTCAGAGGCAAACCACATGGAGACTTTTTTCAAGCTTTCCTCCCTCTTACAGCATAATTCAATAATTTTTTCCCTCTTCCTTTAACTGCCAGGAACTAATGTTTACCCTACAGCAACAAGGCTGTGTCTGACAGCAGGGATGTGTCTGGGACAGTCTGTAAATGGTGGGGAGCCACAGGAGCTGCTAGCAGAGCCATCAACCCCTTTGCTACCTAGTGGCAATAGACAATAAAAATGCAATGAGTTGGCCTATGTCTCTCTGATGTGGGTACCATGTGCTCAGTGGCATCCTCTGAGTGCTGGGCATAGTAAAATATTTTTTCCACCATATTTCTGATGTTTAATACTTAACTTCTTTGTAAATGTGCAACTCTGATATGAAAACAATCCCATTTCCCCTTATAGCGTTTTAACAGAATTTACAGAATTCAACAGAATTTAATGCCATCATCCTTTTCTTCAAAACATAAATACTGTTTTTATTTTTGCTCCTCCCAGCATCCCAAAACTCAGGCAGTCCCCTTGTCACACAGGGGTAGGGCAGGAGGGCTGCTTGGTGGGCACCCCCACCTGTCACCCAGACAGGCAGTGCTGCCTGTGCAAGGAGGACAAACGTGCCAAAGTTGAGCAGGGGCAAAGCAGGACCCGAACTGCCTGGAGGTGCTTTGTTAAACACCCTCAGTGACCATCACAGAAATGCCTGCACACTGTGCAAGGATGTGGCAGCTGGACAGGACCTCTCTGAGGTGCTGCCTTGGGATTCTTTCCAGGCAAGAAGCAGCAGCTCGCAGTCACAGGGTCCAAAACTCAGGCTGTTTTCTCGCTGATAGTTTCTTTGCTGAGGATGTACGGTGTGTGCTGGGAAGGGGAGAAAGCTCTCGTAGCTGTAAGACACGGGAGCCTTTGCACCTCAGCCCCGCACTGCTTAACAGAGAGGTGCTGAGCTTGGGCATAGGGCAGAGGGTGTGTCTGCATGGGACTTCCTGTGGGAGTATTCTCTATATGTATTTATTTTTTTAAAATTAAAGCTCCAAAGTCAAAGTGAGAGTGGCAGAAGGTGGCGCTGCACACCCCCTTTCAGGGGTAGCAGGGAGGGAAGGTGGGAGTGGAGATGTTACATGGGTCAGTCATAACCTGGTGGGAATGGTGCTGGGGAGCAGGAGCTCTGCTGCTCTCAGAGGATGCAGCCCCTTGCTGGGGAAGGATGGAATGGAGAGGAACTCCAGGGGCTGTGGTGACCCCAGGGGACTGAGGAAGAGGAGGATGACGCATTGGCACAGTCAATCAAGTGGAGGAGGGATGGGAACTAGTGACTGGGCTTAGAATGATGGAAAGAGACAAGGAAAACACACTGCCTTGAAGCTCACTAAGAAAGCAGGTGAAGAAGGAAGGGAGAGGGGAAGGCAAATAGGCTGAGACGCTCATGGAACAAAGCAAAGATTAAGGTGACTCCTGAGAGCTTGCGGAAGCTAGAACTAAGCTTTGGGAGACAGTCATCATAACAACAACAAAAAACCCAACCCAAAACATTTTAAGCAGATAATAACGAAAGATGAACTGGAGATGAGAAGACAGGATTGAAGGGTTGAAGCACTGCAGTTCTGAAGCAAAAGTACTTCTGCTTTCACAGAAGCGATTTACTTGCATGGAGCAGGGGACAAAGTGCTGCTGCCTTTGGTGGGAGGCTGGTTTTCGGGAGGGCTTTGCTTCAGAGGGCGGTGGCAGCTCCTGGCAGGACTGTGCCCCTCCCTTTGTGGTGGGAGTGGCACCCTGGCAGTGGAAATCCCCCTGAGACCTGTGTTGCCCTCTCTCTTTGAATGCAGCAGCCTGAGCAAGACACCCACTTCAGAAACACCTGCAGCATCTTTCTCTCATGGCTTTTCTTTCCAGACTGCAAACTGCCTAGACGGACCTAACGCTGTGCTGGCAATGGATCCTCAAAATGTGGTTGTGGTCCAGCCCCAGTTTGCAGTTGTCCAACAGCCAGGCCAGTGGCAGACTGGGTTGATGGACTGCTGCTCCGACTGCGGCGTGTGTGAGTACATATATACCCCTCGTTCCTGCTGTTGGCTTATGATGTCTTTCTGGTGTTCTCCTGGCTCCTTCTGCAGCATTGCTCCTGCTGCAGACCCCACTTTAGTGGGTACCAGCAGCAGAGAAGCTTTCGCCTAAGGTCAAGAGCCACAGCTCCCACGGCTGCATTCCTGGCTGGCTTTTCCCGCTTTCCTTGGTCTTTGCACCCCTCAGCCAAGCCCACATCTCACTGTCCCACAGGTCTTTGTGGAAGCTTCTGCTACTTCTGCCTGGGGTGCCAGGTGGCTGGGGACATGAATGAGTGCTACCTGTGTGGGGACAGCGTGGCCATGAGGACCCTCTACCGCACCAGATACAACATCCCGGTCAGTGACCAGCTGGGTGCTGGCGTGGGGGCCCAGGGAAGGAGAAAGTGGTGCCTGAGGGGACTAGCAGAGGCGGGGAATTGCATGGGCATCCCTGCAGGGGGGAGCCAGGGACACATCTGCAGGGACACACGCTGTGAGCTGGAGGTAGTCCCATCTCACACCACTTCATCCCAGTCCTTGCTGGATATGAGCAGCAGGGTGCTGCAGGGCAGGGTGAGCTGCCCAGGGGTGTTGCTGATGAAAAATAGAAAGGCTTAAAAGCTGACGTGGGAAGGCGTTATTCACACAACGTGTCTTGCTCCACAGGGCTCCATTCTGAGTGACTTTTTCTCCATCTGGTGCTGCCCCGTGTGCTCACTCTGCCAGCTGAAGAGAGACATCAACCGCAGGAAGGAGCAGGGCATATTCTGGTAAGCTGGGGGTGCTGGTGCTGCTTTATACATCACTGCTGCACAGAGCCCAGTGGATTCCCAGAGTCTCCCTTTCCACCAACACCTGACTTCAGACAGAGGGTTGCTGCAGTGCCCAAACAGTAATGGCCGGATGAAACTGTGACCCTCCTCTCCTGTCCCGTTGCAGATGCTGCCATCCTTTCTGCACACTGTGGAGCCACTGCAGGCAGGAGCTGCTGCTGCCCTGGCTGTGTGGAAATGCACCACGCAGGGGTTTGCCTTGGTTGTGATTGATTCCCCCTTTCCCTGGCTAATGCCAGCAATAAAAGCACCATCTCTCTTCCTGCCTGCGTGTTGTTATTTCTGTCTCCGTGTCCTCCTGCAGCATCGTGTTGTTTTGTAGGCTGTGTGGTCAGAGCCATGCTGAGGTTATCAGGTAAAGGACAGTTTCTCTCACAGACCCATGCTGGAATGAGGTCAGACTACAAAGTTCATTGTGTGCCTTCTGTGGGGACAGGTGTCACAGGAGGCCACAGGCATGCTGGGTCACCTCTGCTCCCTCCTGGATGCTGGTCCTAAATGCACATCACCTGCAGCCTGCCAGGCGCAGAGCAGGGTTGGGGGGCTGCATCTGAGCCTCGGCCCACAGCACAGGCGGCTGCATGGTTTGAGGTGGCCAGTTGAACAACAGCCCCGCTGCTGCAGGAGCTCGTGGATGAGCTGAGAGTGCCTGGGATCAAGGTCTTCAAAGCCATATAGGCAGGAGTGGTGCAGTCCCCTCCTTCCAGTGACAGGTGAGCCCTGTGTCCCCAGCCTGGGGCTCCTGCAGACCCCCCCCACTCCCATTCTCTCTTCCCACAGTGATGGTTGTCAGTCACTCCTGCTTGGGACCTTTCTACCCCTTGGCCCATCCTTGATTATGGGGGGTCCTCTCCAGGTCTCTTTCTCCTCCAACGCATGCAAGGGGTTGGACCACTGGGAGTGGGGACCAAAGCCATGAACCATGCAGGGACTTGGGTCCTCAAAGGCAATGCCACAGTGAGTCAGGATCAGCCAGCCCTGACTCTGGGTGAGGGGTACCTGTGCCCACCTCATGCAACAAACATCAAGGGATGTGGTGATACCTGGTGGGTGCCCCAAATAGCAGCTGAACAGCCCCTGCACCCGACTACACCATCAGGGCAGAGATGGGCACTAGAGGTTCTTCCTGCTGGCCAGGGCATGGCACCTCACCACAGGAGGGGCACACCATGTCAGAGGGGCAGAAGGCGGCTGGTGCTGCACCCACAGCAGAGCCTGGCAGGTCGATCATGCCAGGGTGGTGTCCAGGCGTTGCTCAGAAAACCCCACTGTGGTTTGTGGTGCTGGTTATTGCTGCTCACCCACTCAGGGAGCAGTCTGAGTGTTGCTGGGGGCTATGGTGCATGCCCCTGGGCCAGGCTTGGGGCTGCGTGGGGTGGTGGTGGGTTTGTGGCACTTCGTGGGTGATGCTGTGGGGGTCCACAGGTGCCTCCCTCTGGACTGGCAAGTACCAAGTACCACAGGGAAGTTTCTCCCTTCTCTGGGCATGATTTCTGGGCCTCCTCTATACAGGGGCTGTGGGGTGGGCAGAGCTGGGTGATGCCAGCCCAGAGCATGTGTCCCTAATGCTGCGGGAACCCCAGGCCAAGCTGGTTTAGCTGCACAGGTGTCAGTGCCACAACCTGTGATGTGGGTGAAGGTCAAAACAGCAGGTTTGTAGGATGCTGTAGTACACAAGGACGTGGAATTTTTGTTTCTGTGAATTTCTTTATTACAAGTTACTACAAATGGCTACCAGTAAACCAAGGTCATACTTACAATCACTTACCTGTAGGCACACCTATATGCATTAATTGAGGTATTAGTGGCACATCACTTGTCAAACTGCTGCCAGTAGCAGGCAGGAAGGAAAAACCTTTTGTCACAGGTGATCCACATCCTGGAGTTACACAAGCCCAAAACATCCACCTCTGGGGCTTGTAGGGCAAGGAGAAGGCTTGTCACTCTGACCTGGGGTACTGAGACAGAACAGCCTCCCTGCAGTCATCCTCCAGCCTGCACTTGGGCTCCCCAAGGGTTTGCAAGGCAGCAAGGGAAGAGGGGACTCTTCCAAGGAGCTACCAAAGTCTATCTCTATCACCCTTCCCCTACTGCATTTTGGAAGTCTCCGTGTTCCTCAGGCACCAGACCCTCTGTTCTCCTACCACAGGCACCCACCACCAGGCTCAGACCTGCCCGGAGCCCCATGCCCCCTCTTGGATCTGCCCCACTTTCCCCTTTGGGCACAGCTGCACTTCCAGGAACGTCTACCGTCCGCAGTTTTGTACTGCCCCCCGCAGAGCTACAGAATCTTAGTGAACATCCCGCCCTACCCGGGCAGTTATTTAAGGAACACGCTTGCCTATGAAACCCACAGCCCCCAAACTCTCTGTAGGTCGCTCCCGGTGTTTCACCCTCCTCGCATTCACGAGGGGGCGTGACGAGCTCGGTTTTTTCCCGCAGGGATCTCGTTTCTCCCGTGAGATCCCCACGGTCCAGGGCCGGAGGAGAGGACAGCAGGAGCTGCGCCAGCGCCCTGTGCCAGAGCTCGGCACCGCCGCAGCCGTCCAGCCCCAGGAGCACCGTGGCTCTCGGGCTGAGCACCTTTGGGATGGACCGACCTGCGGCAGCACCGTGTCCTGGGGATATCAAAGGCCCACAGCACCCCCAGGTGAGACACCTCGGTGACAGCAGCTCCCCGTCAGAGTCAGCCCTGCCCCGAGAGCAGTGCCCGTGCCCGCAGCTGGGACTGGGATATTTTCCCGGTCCTGAGGCGTTTCTGGCAGTAATGTTAAACCTGTCCTGCGTGAACAGCTGAACGCCCGACTCCAGGGATCCTGCACTGTGCTTCCCCGCCGTCCCTCAGGACCGTGCCTGCCCGCTGGGGCCAGGATCGTTGTGGTTTTCCGTGTAGGGCCGCCCTCGATCCTAGACCGGCAGCAGGCGCCGCAGCGTCCTCCCAGCACACCAGGACACGGACACGGCCGCTCCGGTTCGGAGGTAGTGGCTACGGCTGCACAACCGGCAGGAGCAGGGACAGGCATTTGTTATATGGGCATCCTCACTGAGGGAATGGGGTTTCTCCTTTCTCGCAGTGGAAACAGATTTCATTAGCTGGCACCCGTTGGTCTTGAAAACCTTAATTTGTCTGTAGTTTTCTCCTGTACTCAGCCTGAGCCCTCAGCCACAGCCCAAGAGAAAGAGCATCTTACCTTTCCTGCATCACCCAGGCAGACATGGCAGTAAAACCACAGCAGCTGGAGCAGAGCTGCTCACACCCCGGGGCAGGTGTTACTCCTGTTCAGAATTGCCATGTTCCTCCCTGGAGCCTTTGGGTGATGTTTAAGGTAAGCCTGCTCAAATGAATTTTTGTTCCCTTTAATTGATCTAATCTGTTGGCTGAGATAGTTTTGGCAGCTCTTCCCCAGTTGGTCTGTGTGTTTTATCTGCTGGTTCTGCTTTTTGCTGTAAAGCAAGCATGAAAATTTGCACTTTGCTGGAAGAGGTGCCCCTTGGCAGTGATCTGTGCAGGCTGTACTCACGCTGTTGCTCTCGGACACCCCCATCCCCTGGCTGGGATGCTGTGGGTGGTGGGTGAGCACTCAATCCCCTCTGAGGGCTGGCTAGGTTGGGGCTATTCCTGCTGCCTTTTTTGGCACTATATGAATGTGGGTGTGGGGCAGAAAATGCCAGAGGGGCATCAGTGCCATGTGGGGAACTACCACAGCCACTCCTAGGAGGTTTGTGCCTCACATTTCGGGGACTGGGAGATGGGAAGAGAGTTCAGGGAACATGAAGCAAGAGCTGTTGGGGTCTGATCCAGCTGCACCACACTGGCAGCAGTTCTTTGTAATGCTGGGAACAGCCCATTGTTAGTGGGTACCATCCCTGTGCTGAAATGCACCCTGCTTAGCAGAGGGGCTTGAGCAAGAGGTTCTTTCTTGGCTCTCCTTCTGAGGAGAGATGTGACTCTTCTGGGCTGGGAGGGGGACAGGTATCTCCTGAGGGTCTCTGGGGTGTGCACCCATCAGCTCTGACTGAGTGGTGTCTCTCTCTTTTTTCAGGTACCGAGGAGACACCCCTTCTTTGTGCCTTACCTGCACCCAACAGCCTGCAGTCCTTCACGGGCACGGATCCCTGCACAAGAGCTGCCCCAGAAAGCCCATCTCACTTCTGCTGTCAGGAATGGGACTGAGAGAGACCCTCCACGCAGTGAAGAGCACATGACACGTATTTAATTCCCAAAGTAAGAGGCCAGGCTCCCTGCTGGAAAGAACTCCTTGTAGGGGACAGCCCTGTCTGTGCCCATGTGGCTCCGGGCTGACAGACACCCTGGCTTGTTGCAGCTCCAGCTGATAGACACTGCAAATACTGGATGCTCTGGGTTAGAGATGCTCCTGATTCTCGCAGCTCTGGCCAATGGATGTTTCAGCTTCTTAAAGTTCGAGGTATTTGAAGCTCTTAAGTTACTTCAACTGCTGCTTCTTACAGCTCCAGCTCCAAATCACAGTTCTGCCTGCTCCGCAGCTGAGTGACAAGATGTTCCTGCCATCAGACCTACTCCCCTTGTTAGAGCTTGAGTTATGGACACTTGGGTTTCCCTTGAGTTTCAGGTAATTCCAGCTCCTGGATATACAGGCAATGGATGTTCTACTTCAGCTTATTTGAAGCCCTGAAATATTTCAGGTCCAGCACGCTCCAGAGAAGAGATGCTTCTATTGCTTTCAGAAGCTTCTTTGTGTGACACGCTAATTGAAGCTCCAGCTCCTCACAGAAATCTGGGCTTTGGGCAAGGTTTTAAATCAATCACTGTCATAATTGAATATGAATTTTCCTAATTGCACATTGTCTAAATGCTTACTGATTATTAAATAACTATTCCAGTCATTATACAAACGTAAATAAAGAACAGGGGAAAAGCAGCATTCTGCGCAGTCTCAGACATTGAGCTTGGCCTGGTGC